AGCCATGGCCCCCCCCACCTCTGGCACACCTCCTCTCCTCCTAACAGTTCTGGGCTGTATGGCCAAACCGCTGGCAGTTGTAACATCTCAGCAGCCTTGGCACATAAGCCCTGACTGGATAGTTTACAAAACCCAGCAGCACTCTACCAGGCAGCACCTGCCCCTCAAATTCAAGCAAAACCGCCTCACTATCCGTTTTCACCCCCTCTCTCGTCCTCTGCAACCTCTCCACCCTCAGGATCTTTCCCCCTACCAGATTCTCCTGCAGCTCCTCCATTTTCAAACATAAGGGCACCCCTGCTATCACTCCCTTACAACCACCTGTCCTGCGCTCCCCCACCCTCCCAGACTGAACCACCTTTAGCGTCACTACCTCTTTCATACCCTTAGCTTTTTCTACTTGTCCCTCATCTGAGCATGACACCAGGAGATTCCCATCAGGTAGCACTTTAGCAAATTTGATCTCCCCCAGCTGTTTGCCTAGGTCTTTTGTCAGCATCAGTGGATTAATAGCTTTCATCTTTTTCTGCTCAGCCTCCCCAAAGCGTAAGATCACCACCAGCTTATTGCCCTCCCTCTGGGCTAAACCTCTCCCTTTCACACTTTCATCCAAACTCACACCTACCTCACTTCTCTGCCTCTTGTGAGTGTTTCCTCCTCTCAAACTTTCTTGCTGGTTCGGATCTCCCCTCTTCTGTCCCTTATCTCCTTCCAGCTCCATCTCATCATTGTTCCAGTCTTGCCCTATCTCAGAGCCCGACCCATTCCCGGACCAGCTGTGCCCAGCCATGGAGTCTCAGTCCAGATTTCCTGCAACACGAGTAAAGCCTCCCCGACCGCGAAAACCGCTGCGGGAGCCCATTTTCACCCGACTGGAGCGAGGAGACCAGCTCGTAGACTCACACACGTTCACTCAAAGTTAATTCTGTCGATTATCTTCTCAGATTCTTTATCAAACACAATTTTAAATCTCCGTGCCACCGTCGCAGCAACACCTCCAAAAAGGAAGAACTGGTGGGTGGACTGCCGCTTTTATACTGGCCCACCTCATCAGTGGCCACCAGCGGCGCTCATTATAAACAGTGGCAAATCACAAAGGATAAACACCTCTATGCTGCTACATTTCATTAAAACCTTTTTGACTCTTCTGATCTGAGGAACCTTATGGACTGAAGGAATATGAATAACTTACAGTGTAATAGAGGAATGGACACATAATTTGAGGTAGCCAACAATCTGGTTTTATACATGCGAATTAACTGCTTGGCAACCAGACCAGGTGTCTAATTGAGAAAGGCCTTTATTTGTCAAAATGTGTAGCCACACAGGGCTAGTAAAAGGGACTGGGAGTATAATTGAAGTTTTATTATAATAACGTAAACAACATACAACACAAAACCTTTGCTAAGCTGGTCTAAATCTTATTTATCTGACTGTTTTCAGTTCGTTCATGTTAATGATGACTCATCTCTACGTACTAAAGTTTGTTTTGGAGTTCCACAAGGTTCTGTGCTCGGACCAATCCTATTCATTCTATATATGCTTCCCTTAGGTAACATCATTAGAAATCACTCTGTAAATTTCCATTGTTATGCGGATGATACACAATTGTATTTATCGATAAAGCCAGAAGAAACTGATCAATTAACTAAACTTCAAAAATGCCTTAAAGACTTAAAAACCTGGATGAGCATGTAAGAAACCTCGGAGTAATATTTGACCAAGATTTGTCTTTTAATTCTCATTTAAAACAAACCTCATGTACTGCGTTTTTTCATCTGCATAATATTGCTAAAATTAGGCCTATCCTGACCCGAAAAGATGCAGAAAAATTGGTCCACGCTTTTGTTACCTCAAGGCTTGATTACTGTAACTCTCTATCATCAGGTAGCTCTAGTAAGTCTCTCCAGCTAATTCAGAATGCAGCAGCACGTGTACTAACAGGAACTAAGAAACGAGATCATATCTCTCCTGTTTTAGCTTCTCTGCACTTGCTCCTTGTAAAATCCAGAACTGAGAGAGTGCCATATTATCCCACCAGAACACTGTGCTCTGAGAATGCAGGGTTACTCGTGGTCCCTAAAGTCTCCGAAAGTAGATCAGGAGCCAGAGCCTTCAGCTATCAGGCTCCTCTCCTGTGGAATCATCTTCCTGTTGCGGTCTGGGAGGCAGACACCATCTCCACATTTAAGACTAGACTTAAGACTTTCCTCTTTGATAAAGCTTATAGTTAGGGCTGGCTCAGGCTTGCCTTGTACCAGCCCCTAGTTAGGCTGACTTAGGCCTAGTCTGCCAGGGTACCTCCTATAATACACCGAGCACCTTCTCTCTCTCTCTCTCTCTCTCTCTCTCTCTCTCGTATTCTATTACTGCATCTTGCTAACTCTGCCATTCTGGATGTCACTAACTCGGCTTCTTCTCCGGAGCCTTCGTGCTCCACTGTCTCGCAGGTTAACTTATATCGCAGCGGTGCCTGGATAGTGTGATGTGTGTGGTTGTGCTGCTGCCGTGATCCTGCCTGATGCCTCCTGCTGCTGTTATCCTTAGTCATACTTCTGTTATTATACACATATGATTATTGTCACATATGTATACTACCAGATATTAATATATACTTTCTACATATTGTACCACAATAGCCATAATTATTATTATAATATTATTACTTTAATTAATGTTGTTGTAAGCTATTATCATTACTGTCTGTCCTGCAACTATCTCTGTCTCTCTCTCTTTCTGTCTCATTGCGTCATACGGATTACTGTTAATTTATCATGTTGATCTGTTCTGTACGACATCTATTGCACGTCTGTCCGTCCTGGAAGAGGGATCCCTCCTCATTTGCTCTTCCTGAGGTTTCTACCGTTTTTTTCCCCGTTAATGGGGTTTTTTTGGGGAGTTTTTCCTTGTCAGCTGTGAGGGTCCAAAGGACAGAGGGATGTCGTTTGCTGTAAAGCCCTGTGAGGCAAATTGTGATTTGTGATATTGGGCTTTATAAATAAAATTGATTGATTGATTGATACTGTAATACACTGGAAGATGTCCTCCATTTTAAAACTCTCAAATTGGAGTTTGCTAAAATTTAAGTCTGTCTGTCTGTCTGTCCCTCCCTGGTTCACAAGTGGAGGGCTATGTAGGAAACGGTCACTAAACAGTAACAATAGCAGAAAAGTATGAGGAAAACTAAAGTCCAAACCACAGAGATTCAGATACAAGTTACTTAAGTCCTGAGAACTGACACAGAGACTGTTTAAAGCTGTTAAAGTGAGCTACTGTACAGTGGGTCTGTGCACAAATGTAAGTATGTCTGACATGCAAATAGTGGAACTTCCTGTCTGAGTGTAGCTGAAGTTTAGTGTTAGTCCTGGTTGTTGAAAGTGTAAATATGATCAGCTGTACTCACCAGTGTTGGGCAGAGACTCTGCTGTGTTGTTGACAAAGACCTGATGAAGTCAGTGTGAATTTTCTTTTAGAGAGAAACAGAGACTTGTCTCGACTGCAGCGTGGCTCACACTCTGACTAACTTTACTTTCATTTCTGGAGTGTGA